TTGCACTGGATTGGTAGTCAACATTTTCCGGCATATTTCTGTCTTAAAAGTCATAGCAAACATTAAGAATCCTTAGTATGACTCCAGAAATTTAATATTCACTAGCTGTAAGTATTGTTTATAAGATTAATATGTTTTATATTGGTTATTGTAACAGCTACGTATTTTTTCTTTTTCCCTTACGTAGTGTTCTTTTGCTTCGAACCATAACACTATGCTATATTAATATCATTATAAGCATTGTTTATTTCTTATTTTAGAGAAGCCAAGGCGTATATTAAGTTGCCTTATAACCACTATTAAGAACGTTCAAGAGTGAATGGACGGTCAATAGACAACACTATTTACTGATGGCTTAATTGTGACTTTAAAACACTATAGACTGCTAGTGCTATTACCTACTAGTACATTCTTCTTTGCTTACTTCCGGATACAACAAGATATATATTAATTACACTTGTCTTGTGGTATTACAAAAAGCGTCTCCCATCACTGCCGAACCCTTGACGGGTGCCAGTAGATGTAACCAGCTCCAGCCCTCAATTTGGCCAGGACCACGCAACTCTGCTCTTCGTGGGGTTTCGCAAGCCTCCAGACTTATTCGACACCTTATAAAGCCGCCCACTGAGTCACCGCCCGGGGCAACCAACAACCATGTCCACCACTCTGGCCATCCAATATCATCGCCTCTGCATCAGGCCTCTCCATGCCACTACACCGAGCAGAAATCTCACATCGCCCGGATACACGGCCTCCCGTCACGGATGTCACGAATAACTGCCCGAGATATGTAATTTCCCAGAGTGACCGCTACCCCGGCGTATTTAGCGACATAGTGAAATTACCTCGAGAGTTACTCTTTTTATCGGTTCGGACGACTTCGGGAATAAAACCAATCTGTATTCTTGTATGCTGTTTGAATTTTAAAGCTAAGATCATAGTTGTTGGTGTCAGGATCTCTGGTATAGGGCATGTATTGACTATTGTTGTTGCGCGAGGGGTGTGAATACCTTCGTAGACTGGCCTCTGTCTATATACATGTATGTTCTTCGTCCCAGATCGTAACAGTTGGCTTCTGATATCTCGGTGCGAGATGCGTCGTATAAAGGGTGCCTTTCAGACACATAGAGCTCCGAGAACGTCGCTTATCCTAGTTAACTTGAAAAGTTTTGTATCAGTAATAGCGAAGGAGAGTTCTCGACTGAACGTAACAGGGTTGCAAATTTATCGACGGTATAAGAAGAAATATCATATTAGCGGATCATACAAACGACATCTGGAGCTCAGGCGTTGGAGTCGGTATGATCCAAAACTACCTAGGTTAGGCTATTATCAAGCCATTGCGGCCCTGAACTGATGACTGGTGATACTCAAATATTTCTCGTAAATTGTGAGAATAGCCCGGTCTGCTACTCGCTCAATTTGCTCCATGTTTTAGGGTCTTACAAAATCGGGGCTGCTGCACGGCATCTTCCTGGTAGGTTTAGTGATTACTATGAAGTGGGCAACCGAGGTAAATGCAGCCACCTTGTATATTAACCAGTCTGGACGTAGGTCTGCCTAGAAACATTATGCTGGTGGGCAATTTTGATACTACGTAATGATCTCATGGGAAGGGCTTCGCGACGCGACGGCATCGCATGATCTGACGCTTTCGAAACGCTTCAGGCATATCGGGGCGAGGTTGATATTGGGCTTGATCTTTTCGGAGCCGGATCGGCATTTCCAAACCGTGGGACGGTCCCGTCAAAATCGTTCTCCAGTCTTGTAGATGTTGCATATGTAAGATGGTGTGACGTCTCATTCCCATTTGCATTAACATGGGACGGCTTCCTCGGCAATTGCCTCCACATCAGTTTATCAGTTGTCATGCTCCGCATCAGCCTTATAGAGACTACTCGGCGCTTTCGTTCTCGCGACCGCGTAAGGTAATGCGAATGCCGCGATGCATTGCAGTATGGCTGCTTTGAAATACAGCATTTTAATTGGCATGACCGCTCTGAGAATGCTGTGCCACCCAAACCTCGTTATACTCGGCGAGACCGACCAATGGTCCTCAATTTTGACGAACTTCCTCATCGAATCGCGTGAAGTCGTGGGAATGGCGGATGCACAACGCTTACTCATGGGACTGCCGCGAATGTCGGGCGCGGAAGAGTGGGAATCCTCCAAGCGATGAAGAGCATTGTGTAAAGTGAAATATAAAGATGAGGTTGAAGCATATGGATATGGTAAACGGGAACCACAGCGGACATTTGCTATAGCGAGCACGTCAGTCAATTGATGATATTCGTGCCAAACCCTTGGAACTCTTCTACCTCATATTCAACATCGCCGAAATCCCAGGTCGTTCCTGGTCGTAGTTCGAAAATGGAATGCCCCTACAAACCTGGTGACTCGGCTGCAACGCAGCAGGAACACAGCATCAACGAGAATCGAATTTTACCTATACCGCAGCCTCCTACTCACTGGCTCATCCGGAACCTACCAGAGATGGACCCGCCCTTCCCACTCTCGTCCATATGGCGCCTTGCAGCGGTATTCGGTGATATCTTCAAGCTGGACCTCGTCTCGAGACAAATGGTAGTTGTCTCTTCCTATGAGCTGTTTAATGAAGTTATGGACGAGTCGCGTTTCCAGAAGAGTCCAACCGGGGGACTCAAAGAGCTAAGAGCTCTCTTAGGGGATGGCCTATTCTCCGTTTACGGACACGAAGAGGTGAGATCGCTTTGCAGCCTATAGACCTAAGCAATTATCTAATGCCTTCGTAGAATTGGGGCAAAGCTCATCGTATCTTGATGCCCGTCTTCGGTCCGCTAGCAATCAAGAAAATGTTCCCCGAGATGCAGGACCGGAATCCCCGGTGATTCTCAGGTGACCGCCGACAAATCTTCTCACGGCGGGCATAATACGGGCGACAAATCACCCGAAGAGAAGCGAGCTGGCGAATCATTGCTGATCCTCTACGGCTCTAACGCAGGTACATGCAAATATCTCGCTGAGGATTTAGAAACAACGGCGAGAGACCGGGGCTTCAACCCCACGGTTAAGACCATGGACGAAGGGACAGAACGACTCTCGAAGGATATCCCGGTGGCTATCATCACGCCATCATACGAGGGAATGCCTGCAGATAACGCCAGGAAGTTTGTATCATGGCTTGAAGCTGGCAAGTCTGATAATCTCAAAGATGTGCGTTATGCTGTATTTGGTGCGGGCAACAGCGAGTGGGTGAACACATTCCACCGCATCCCGAAGTTGGTTGATGAAGTGATGCCTAAGCTTGGGGCTACGAGAATTATCTCGCCAAAATTCGTGGACGTCAAAGAAGACCTCACTGGTCCCTGGGAGGATTGGCGGGACGAGCTGCTTGTCTCCTTTAGCGGACAATCGGAATCCGTTACTACTACTACCTCTGACCTGGAAGTTACTGTCGAAAAATCGGATACAGCAGACTTGCTAGGTGGAGAGACGATTTCCACGGGAGTTATCAGAGAGAACAAACAAATCGCCGGAACTGAAGTAGGATCCGCCAAAAGACATATAGAGGTCGAACTGCCCGAGGATGTTACATATGAGCCTGGAGGTACGTCTGCAAGAAGAAATTTCGTTCGGGCCACTCTAACCTATTCATGCAAGACTACTTAGTTGTTCTTCCGACAAACCCCCTAAACCTCGTTCGCCGTGCAGCTACACGGTTTGGTCTGAACGTCATGGACATCGTAACTGTTAAGGGCACGAGCAAAATCTTTCTGGTGCGTAACCTATACAATATCCCTTCACGGGCTGAACTGACCGAAAGCACAGATTGGCCGAGGACCGAGTACCGTCATCGAGATCCTCGGCGGGCGTGTCGAGTTGGGAACCTTAGCCTCCAAGCGCCAGATCGAAGCGATTGCGAAGACGGCAGAAGGAAGCGAGCAGCACAAGCTTCAGGACCTGACTTCCTCCGAAGACGTATTCAAAAGCGAGGTTATCGGCAAACGCATGTCGGTGCTCGATATCTTCGAGGACTATCCTGGCGCTAAGTTGTCCTTCGCTGCTTACCTCGACATGCTGAGGCCACTGGCGCCACGGCAATACTCCATCTCGTCGTCCCCACTCGCGACGCTGCCAGGAAAGCCCGTGTGTGCGGCGGTAACCTACGACGTGCACTCGGCGCCGGCGCTCAGCGGCAACGGCCGTCTATTCGAGGGCGTGGCGTCAACGTATCTAGCAAATCGCACTGTCGGGTCGCGAATCCCGTGTTCAGTGCGCCGCTCCAACACGGGCTTCCATCTACCCAAGGACCCCGGGACTCCCATCATCATGGTTGCGGCCGGCACGGGCCTAGCACCAATGCGCGGATTCATCCAGCAGCGCGCGTACATCGCAGAAACCAACCGGGACGTGCTCGGAGCCGCGCTCCTCTACTTTGGATGCCGCGACTTCGAGAAAGACTTCTTATACGCGGATGAATTGCGCGAGTGGGAGGGCCTGGGCGCCGTGCAGGTCCGGCCTGCGTTCTCACGCCGCGGGCCCCCGAGGGCTCAGGGAAAGGCAGAGTATAAGTACACACACGAACGCATGTGGGAAGAAAGGGATGAGATTCGGGACCTTTTCAGACAGGGGGCGAAGATCTTCGTGTGCGGTTCCGCGAGCAAGCTGGCCAAGAGCACGAACGAGGTCACGAAGCGCAGTTGGAGGGCCGCTTTCCCTGATAAGAGCGAGCAGGACGCACAGGGCTGGTTGGCTGGCATTCGTGAGGTGAGGTATGTGAGTGATGTGTTTGACTGAATAGTTGAGGAAGGTCACCGCTGTCTCACTCTTCCATTCCGCTTCCTTTGTCGTTCTAGAACCATTACTGCAAGATCAATATCACCCTGCGTTGCAACAGAACCACCACGTGTGACACTGGCAAGCGCACACTCGATACTCTCCCATTGTAGACTGCGGGAACACCCGAGACACGTACTCAGGCCTCGATCAATTGGCAAGTCTACAAAAGATTCCAATGGAGTGGTGAGATGGCCGAGTGGTTATGGCGCTGCGTTCAGGTCTTGGAACCGAACAAATTTCGCAGTGGAGCAATCCGCGTGGGTTCGAGTCCCACTCTCATCATGAGTGTGATACATTTCTTGGAGACAGGGAATGAAGTTATCTTTTTTTCTTTTCTTCGGTTTCCTACGGTAAGTAGAATTTGATATTGCAGAAGAGGTGGAGAACTAATTTGACATGCAACTACTGTGAGGGGTCCCGTATGCACCGTTGCCTCGCACCTTTCTAGCAATATCCGACCCCTATTAACACCGACTATGTTGTCTACGAGGTCCTGACATCACCTCTAATCTCATATCGAACAAGTTGCCACAGTCAACTACACCGCCGTAACAAGCTCGGTGTTACAACGTATCCAGATACGTCTAACTTCGCTCGACAAGCACCATGTCCCTGCCGACGTGCATCCAGCGCGCGCATATTGTGTACCTCTAAACGCACGCCTTAACATTGTTTGATTCACCACACAACGGTATCCTACGTCCGTCTCTACAGATCAGGCTACCAGTATATAAGTTCACATCTCCGGCTGCAACGCAGTCTTTCTACACTTCCCTAATTCGTCATGGCGACCAAGCGATCTCGCGGCCCAGAATTGGTACCGAACCCCTTCATCAAGAAGAGAAATCTACAATGGAGCATTGACATCACTGGCTTACCCCACGACGCCGCCAGCTCAGGCAGCTCCGATGAAGACGAGAAACCGTTGCACCAAAATGAGCAGTTACCAACAACCTCGGCGATCGAAGCTGGGAAAGCCAGCATAGAGGATCATCTCGACTACTTTAGCGCGCTTCTGGCTAAGACCACTCTGTCGCCATTTCCTTCGGGCACCCCTCATCTCTCTGTGAAAAGCTATCGGGACCTATACGAGGCCAATGCCGGAAATCCTCAGGGAGCTCACTTCATTATCCATCAGCATGACCACCCAATCGCGGGAACGCATTATGACCTACGGCTGCAAATCAATGAGACCAGCAGCGCGTCATGGGCCATCATGTACGGACTCCCCGGGGACCCGAATAGTTTTCGGCTAAATCGAAATGCGACCGAGACACGAATCCACTGTCTATGGGCAAGTACTTGCCTCTTATTTCGAGCGTCATAATGTGCCTACTTGTCACATTATCAACAGATACTGACGAATAATAGAATCATCTTATTGAAACTGCCTCCCACGCCACAGGCTCGCTCCTCATCTGGGACACAGGAACCTACACTGTCCTACCAACGGAGCGCAAGAGTTCGCAAGATGACTCGCAATCATCAACGGATGAGGATAGCGGCTCGCCGCAGCTAACAGAGCAACAAAGGCTTCACCAGGCATTTTCAGCACGGAAGATCCGATTACAGCTTCACGGGGCGCGTCTACCGTCACCGTATGTGTTGAACCTACGTCTAACGCGTGAAGAGGATGCCGCAGGGCGGGCACGCAGCACGCGCGTCCCCAAAACACGACGGAGAAGAGGTGCGCCAACTGCGATTTCGGGGAGAGTAACCAGATCCAGCGCCAAAGGGAAGAAAGCCGTCGAGCCCGCCACGAGTTCCGACTCGGAACCAGAGTATGCTTCTACTCCTTCACGAGGAAGCACCAGAAAGCAGCATCAAAATATTATTAGTGGCGATGACGAAGACGACATTGACATTGTACATGCTCCCGCCGAGCAGGCTAAGGACGGCGAGACGAATATCTCGGCTACCGAGCGCGAACTGCGCGAGCTTGAGGACGAGGAGGTCCGTAAGACCAATACATATCCTGGTGCAACAAACACTATCGGTAGCGTGCACCAGCGGCGTTGGTATCTATCCCTAGACCGCGAGGCGAGTGGGTTTGTGAAGCGACGAAGAGAGGGTAGAGTTATTTGGGAAAGTACAGACGTCCATTCAGACGGCGCAGCAGGAGGTCTTCAGAAGGCAAAAAGGAGCAAGAAGGAGAAGAAATCGGATCAGGATAGAGATAACACGACACGGTTGGCCTATCCATTCTACGTTCGCGGCGTCGAGCACGAGCGGAGTGTGGTTACGGGTCGACTCGGGAGCGAAGTACTAAAAGATGAGGGAGTGGTTGGATATGTTGGGCGGAAGGGTTGGCAGGCGATTCTGAAATAAAAACTCGGGCATTTGTTCCCGTTAATTATTAGAGTTAAAGCTGTTAGAGGATAGCAATATGAGGTTGGTACATTTCTTCGGTGGAAATATCGGTGTCAAACGTTAAGAAAAGTTCTTCATTACTGTTGCTTCGTAGAATGGTTGGTCTCTCAAAACGTCTTCCCTCCTGCTCTACACGAGTGCATATCCACAAGAAGACCATATATTATATGTTATTATAAGTTAGGTATTTTGTGAACTATCTCCTTCACCGTTACTCTATGAATTGGTAACTTGGTTCGAGATTTTTATAGACTAAAAGTTGCTTTGGTGCTCAAGGCACACTGTTGATATTGTAGAGCTACATGAGCGAAATCCTCCTAACTCTTGTGACTATTAGGGCTTTTTAAATGTGAATAAAATTTATCAAATTCCAATACATCGAGAAAGTCTAAATCCGTAGGGTATGAAAATATTATGTATGCTAGCCTCTGGGAAAATCAACCTTCCTTTACATGTCTATCTTGACAAGTAATTAACGAAAGCTTGAATAGCAGATATAGACAAGGAAGTGGCGAGTTCCATGCATCTCGAGACGTTCTAGCCGAACTAGGCTCTAGATTCGCCTTTCATAATGGATGGGGAGCCCACAGCTGCTAGAAGTACAGTAGATGCACATTGATTCTCCTGCAGACCAATCCATTTCAGAATCTTCATCTGACGAGGACACCGAGAGGTTTTGCCCCTCGTAACCTATGTTACTCTGGCCTCTTGGAAGCCCTGCTGCGAGTTCCATCCCCAGGCTCCGCGCCCCAGTTGAAAAGACGCTCCGGTTCGTTCGGCTTATGGCACTGGTCGCCTTGCTAACTGATGCGGCAGTTCTTCGAACGTTAGCCCTGAGTCGATCCACGTCAATACGGATTCTATGCTCAGAGGTCCGTATGAGCAGTCTATGGCTGGGGTTCTTGATGTAAGGTAACATTCCCATCTCCTTCAAATCGCCGCTCCGTTTGGCGCCTTCGATGTACGCCTTCTCTAGGTTCAGGGACGCAGTGTCAACATATGTGCCGTTGCTGCGAGCTCTGAAATAACTATCCAGTTCTGCGCTCCAGTTAGCCATACAGACCATCACAGCATAATTTAGTCCGCGGAATGTTGGTCCGTGGTGGCTCTCTTCCATGCCCAAGGTGTTAATCTCGTTTCTTCGACATCCAGGACAGCGACAAACAAATGCCCATAGAAACGTGTGCGTCATTTCGTGGACCAAGGCGGACACAAAGTTCGGGAGGCCTCTGTGCTCTTGATGATACCTGTCTATGGAGATAATGAATTGAGGTAACCAATTTTTGTCCTCTACCTTCTGGCAGTATCCCAAATAATCCATGCCGGGCGGGAAACTTGTTAATACTAAATTTTGAATTAACGGCGGTGAGCCGTTTGTGAGAGATCCAAAGAAGAAGAATTCGTCCAAGTATCCCATCAGTGCCGTCAAGGTGTTGTACAGATCCAAGTCTGAGTCATCAAGGTCCTCGAGTGATACTTTCGCCTGGCGCTCGAAAAGCTCAATGAAGTTCCTTTTAGCTTGTCTTTGATGTGATGTGAGTTTACTATTGCTGATTTCATAGAAACTTGCCACAGTGCAGTTCAAAAGTTCCCGCGCTCCGTATGCACATGGTTGAAAAGGCGGGCGGATATTGTCCCCTGTCTTGTATGCAAAGGGCCTTGCATGTTTCGTCTTGTCTGTCTTGGCAGCTTTCTTAGTTTTGTCAAACATCTTTGAAGTATTTTGGGTGTCTTGAACTTGAGATTAGAGTTGATATGGGTTTGTAACCAATGTTGTATGTGGTGATGATGTTGTACTCTTGCAACGGTATACCTATTGAAGTGGGATAGAAATACTATATATGTTGAATGAACCGTACGCAGAATAGGTTGAAGTCACATCGGTAAGAAACCAAAGCTATTGAGATGGATCCAGTTCAATCTGAATACTGAAAACGAAGACTCTGAGACCCCAATCCTTTATGGTGTTCTCTCGAAGGTTGTAGACAGCAACCATAAAATTCCTCGGAAGCTCCCATAACCCGAGTTGTTTGGAGCCGACAACTGTCTATTCTATACATCTCCTCTTAATAATTGTACGAATATATACATAGCACTCTTTGATAGTCTCTTAGTTATCTTTTGCTGAGACATAGGTATGCTACTCTAAGCGTATTACGGTGGTCGGAATTTAGGAACCCTAACACACTGGGGCGGAGGAGAGTACGTTCAAGCCCTTATGGCCTCCCGATCTTGTTCTTTCCCTGGGAGTCTTTAGCAGTTCCCTCTCAGGGGTTATAAGGAACGGTTTCAGAGATTACGGATTGGAAGGCCAACATATCGCTTTATTAGCAAATATGCAAAAACCACGAGGTATTGGGGAGTTCATGCTTAACCGGCTGTTTAGTCGGATAGAAGTTTGCTCACATGTATTAACTGAGTCTGCAAAAGATGCACGAGTTGACCAATGCGCGTTGCCCATTGCACGCGCCATTGCCGTTAGATAGTCTCAGGGCAACTGACTTCGCACAAATTTGAACAAAAGGAAGGAGAAATAGACCCTGTCTCCCGTTTCCAACTCACGTTTGTGGCAGACCCTCCTGATCCATCCCCAGATGCCCCAACACAGACTGATAATAATAACCTTTACAATATCAAACTTTATTTTAACGCTAAAGATTTCCTACTGCCTTCGAAGGTTAAAATCAGGACCCAGGAGATGTAACTGTGGAATCAGAATCCTTTTCACCGAGCATTGTACACCCAAGCGTCGCGCCGTCGCCAATCTCACGCGCTTTCTAGCCACGAACATACCACTTCTTTGATATACTTATCATCATCTATTTTCTATTGTTCTACATCATTTAAGTCCCTTCCAAACACAAACCTCTGCGGCCGTTTACTGCACCATGGCTGAATCCGAAATCACTGGA